GCAGGAAGATCACTTAACGCCCACAAGTTTGAGGTCAGCTGGGGGACTTAGTAAGACCCTGCCTCCTAGGTCAAAACAAAACAGGTAAAGAGTACTGTTCACAAGGACAGTAAATGAATAACAAATATGTACAATAAAAAAATGTAAATCGTTTCTAAGATAAAATGTTTTACATTTTTTAAATTAAGCAAAAGGAGAAAAGATCAGATTACAGGAAACCTTTATAAATTCAACCAAAAGGGAATAAAGAGCAAGTACAAAATTATATAGTAGAAATAAATCCAAATATATCATACAAGTGGAAAGGGATTTAACTCATCTACTTAAAAACCACTCTTTAACTTATGAAGTGCATATCCCTTCTCACCCATAAGAGCCAGTACCTTTGAGTCAGAGATAGCATATTCCACAACCATCTCCCACACACACAGCAGACATAACTAATCACCACCATCTCCCATGCACAGAACAGACATAACTAATCACCACCATCTCCCATGCACACAACAGACATAACTAATCAGAGCTCCTTCCTGAGCCCAGATAATACCTTCAGAATCTCACTAGGATGCTACTGCTACACAGTGATAGAAATCGGATTGGCAGAGCTCTCTATTGCTATGGCTTGGTTCTACTAGGCTCACAGTCACCCAACAGGACTGATTGAGTGTTCTAGGAAGAGAAAATACAGGAGCATACAACTCCTATCTGGAGAACTAGGAAGACCTGGCCTGAGCACCTATTCTGCATTCCTGAGTTAGATCTCAGCCAACTCTTCTGTCCCTCTTAGCCTGCCCCCACCAGGCCCGTCCCTCACCAAGTCAAGAAACCTAGCAGCAACAATGACTGTGGCCAGTGAGTGCTGAGGCTGTCCTGGCACCTAAGACACAAAGGGGAACAGGTGAGCAGGCCAGGGAAGGGCAGGCTTTCCAAGGTCACGGCAAGGACGACTGGCAGGAGAAGGCTAGTAGAGAACTCGTGTCCTAGTGGAAAACAAGGAAGATGGAGGAGCTGTGCTAGGGACGTGAGCCTCACTTATCTTAAGTCCCGGTCATAACACTGTGGGGAGGGGGACACAGGGTAAGTATTTTTATTTCCAACATACAGATTAAAAAGTGAGTTCTGGGTCCAGGGTGATGGCTTAGTAGAATAAGCGCTTGCCTGGCAAGTGCAAGAGCCTGAGTTCAATCCCCAGTTCCACAAGAAAAATAAAATAAAAAGTGAGTTCCAAGGGCCAGAGGTATAGCTCAGCAGCGTGGTGCCTGCCTGGCAAGCATAAGGTTCTGAGTTCAATTCCTGATTCAAAAAAAAAAAAAAAAAAAAGAGAGAGAGAGAGTTCTAGCAATGAAGTAACTTGCCATGGTAGACAAAGCTGGCCAAGTGCTAAGTGGCCTAATGGAATCCATCCCCAACAATTCCACTCCTAGACAAGTAAAAACCAAAAACGTGTACATGGGTTCTCCCCAATATGAAGACAAGCTGCACATGAGGGCAGCCTAACTAGGCACTGCGCATACATCCTTCGGGAAGATGGGCAATTGTGGAAAAGTCACACAGTAGGACACTAACAATTCTGAAATGTACAAGAGGAGTAGATTTAAGCCAAGTGTAGTGGTGCACGCCTGTAATCCCGGCACTCACAAGGCTGAGGCAGGAGGATCATTGTGAGTTTGAAGCCAGCCTGAGCTACTGAGTGAGTTCAAGGCCAGCCTGAACTGCATAGTGAAACCCTACCTCAAAAAACCAAAACCAAAGAAAAAAATGATCTGGAATGTTCTCATCACACAAAACAAAACACAGGTAGAGACTTGCAGCTAGTAACAGTCCAGGTCTGTGGGACCCCAAGACAGTGTCATCAGAGCAGACTGAAGCATGGGGAGTGGGTAAGAATCCAGCAGGCCCTGTTTTCCCAAGTGCCTCCAGCCCAGAGGATAAGCAG